AAAAAAATGCTGTAATAATAATTTCTGTCACTTGATTTTGATGCATATTATCCTTGAATGCCCAATGGTAATATGCCATTTGTCTCCACATCTGAAGGGAATTCTTGAAAAACATGGGAAAAGGTGAAAGAAGCATGGGAGGAGGGAGAAGATCCCATTCCGGTTCTAGGTTAGAATTCCCCACTGTGATGTGTCAGGGCCTTGGTGCTGGTTCTGTTTAGGTGACTTCCCACAGTTACCCAAGATGAAGCTAAAACCTGGGTGTTTTCTGCAATATTTGTATTTAGATGAAACGTACTGCTTACTGTCAGTAAGAAATGCTAAGGTACTCACAGACTATTTCCAGCTCCTGGATGTGCATAAGAAGAATGCCCTGAACAGTGAGTACTTTTCAAAATTAGACCAGCATTAGAGCTATAAAATTACAGGCCCTGTGTAATGTTTTGAAAAGAGATACACAGAGTGCTACCTCTCTTGAAATTTAAAACCTGAGATCCCAGACATTATAAATATTGTGCTTCAGATATTACATTGAACGCAGTTCCCTGCAATGCTAATTAATTAGCAGCTTAGTTAATGCCACCGCTTGGCAATGCCCCCTAAACCTTTCAGTTACAGCATATATCATCATGGCCGACTGGCCTATCATGCTCTGAAAGGTTATGTAGCCTGGCTAATCCTGCATCGGCTTCTGAAATGATATGTATGGCTCGTGGGACCGTTCAGAGCCGCTGAAGCATATTTTCAACTCGCATTGATGGTATCCCTTTCCCTTGCACCCTTCAAATGCCTCCTAACCCCATTTCTGATAAAGAAAAAGGCCTGAGGCTGCTAGAAATCTGCTTGGTTTGTGGTACTATCACTCTCTGCAACCCTCTGCAACTTAGTGGCACCTGGGTAGGCTTGCTAGTACTGCACAAACATGATAACCAAGTCCTGGCACCAAGGAGCAGAGAATCCACATACAAAAAAAACAGGCCAGAGATAAAGGAGATTTTTACAGCCGTACAAGTGAAATGCTGGGAGCACAGGACAAGGCTGGCTCACAGCAGCCAATTCCTTAGTACTGCAGCAACCTCATCATGTAATCCCCTTCACAAACTGGTCGTGCTCCACATTAAAAAGCAGGTTCCCTGCCAACATTATTCTCATTAGGAGACTGTTAGAGAACACTGCTTCACTGCTTCCTAACTTCCCAGCCATGCTTACTGAGGCTATTCCCATTCTTTTGGAAACCAGCATCTCTCTCTGGCTTAAATAATGCTTCTTGCTATGGATTCTTTGTAGAAATCACATATGCCCTTTTCATAAATGAGGGCAACTTATTAACACTACTAATTCTGAAAAGCTTCTTGCCCACTATACTGTTTTAACTGCCTGTGCAACCACTGTGGGAGCAGTTGGCATTTGAAATAAGGCAAATCCCGTTGATTCTTGCCAACGACTTTGTCCAGAAAAGGCCAAACAGATTCCTGTTTTCCAGATCTGCAGTTTTACTGCTTTCTCCATTATGTGACTGACCTGAAGAAGAAGCATATCATGCTGCTTTTTGACTTGCTGGACCGAAACGCGGAGGGGAGCATTGGCTTTGATGAGTTCTACCTGGTGGTGTGTCTCCTGTTGGCACACGAGGTACGTAGCCCCCACAAGCCACTGCAGGTGCCACAGACCATTGACAGCCCCATAAAGGGAATCAGCTCAAGGGAAGCTAATCCTTACCCATGGCAAGGGACAGGAGGGACCCTGAGGTCCAGATGTGGCCACAACACTAGTGCATGCAAAAGAAAAGCAATCAAGTGAGCTGTGTCCCTCTTAGTACCAATCCTGCCCCAAAACCTTTCACCAGCTTGGAACCATCTAACTACTCTGGCCAGCTCTTACTGCCCTTTTGGGGAGTTCTCCAAAAGAGAACTTCTTGGCTGGGGCTACCTGCAAGGAAAATTTGTTTGCCAGATTGTTGGTGCCAGGTGTGCAGAACCCCATCTCCTTGACAAGCTCTGCATAGCCTGACCTGTGCAGACACTAGTAATTTTTCAGTAAAAAAAAAAAAAAAAAAAAACAGTGAGGCTAGCAAGCTTTTTTGAGAAAGATGGATGGTAAAGCCTGATTTATCATTTTTCCTCCCCACCCCTCACTGACACATCAGGTCCCTGTTATGCAGTCATGTGGGACGTGGCATCCCTGGGGAGCACACGGCACATGGATGCTGCGGCCGTTCAGGAGCACCGTGCAGCTGCGTTGGCTCCACGAGGCTCCTTAGGCAGCCGTGCTGTGGATGAGAACACCGTGCAGTTGCCCACAGGCCTTGGGGCAAGGAAAGAGGAAACCACGCTAGCCACAGCAGCTAGCCACAGCACCTAGCCATGCAAGTCATGCAACATGTGGCAGGGAGGAGAAAGGATATTGCAGCGTGTCCTGTGCACAGGACAGACACAAGCCTGGCTCCATTTCAATAACTCTTCCCACCACAGCTCACAGCTCTTTGGAGCCCAGACCCAGGGTGCAAGAGCCACGTGCTTCCACACAGCCTAGCCCACGGGGCAGGAAGCACTAGAATCTTGGTATTTCCTGCAGGCCCCACTATCAAGAGGTCACCTTTATTCTCTGGACACCATCTGCTATTCCCTGTATGCTTTCAAAGCAGGAAATTGTTGCTTATGGTCTGTTTTTAAACCTTTCTGCCCTGAAACAGAACCACCTTGAGAAGCAGTTCATCTATCGACACTCGGGGCCTGTCTTTAGGTTGCTGGATGTAGATGATGATCACACAATTAGTCCTACGGAGTTTCGAGCAGCAGGTTTCCTCTTTAACATCAAGAAAGATGAGCTTGAGAAGATATTCAAGGACTTTGATGTATCTGGAGAGGAGGTAAAATTAGAAAAATTACAACAACAAAGGCTATGAAAATGTCCCTATATTAAAAATTAACCCTTAGAAGCCCCAAGGGAGATGAAAGGTCTGCTGCATCTGATATCCCAGAATATCTAGATGGGAGAAAGTGTGTGAGTGAAAATGTGCAAAGTCACAAAGCAACTTACTTGAGCAGCTGCAGATTCTGGTCCCTTGTGCTGAACTTATCAGGATGTCCCAGAACTTGCGGGCAAATACTCAGCAACCTCCTATCCTGGAGTGTGAGCGACTGCTGAGACAGAAGGCTCTTCAGAGGTGTTCCCCTGCCTAAACCAACTGCCACCTACGAGGCTGTTCCTGCTGCCTATGAGACTATTCCTGCATCTGTGTGGGTCCAAAAACCTCAATCTGGTCATCTGAACCCGAAGGCACTTGAGAAGCTCTAGGGGGCCTCTCCCTCCAATTTACTTCTGAAGCCCCTAATGTCCTAGGATCCAAGAACAGGGCAAGCAGGGAGCAAGTTACAGAGGTGAAACAGACCTTATCTTTTCCTTTGATCCTAGACTTCCCAGGGCCTAAATATATATTTACAAGTCTGTCTTCTTTAGGGGTATCAGAAGCCTTGATTGAATGTGTCTTAATAGTAAGATAGCAGTAGGAGGAAAGAATTGGGTGAGGGAAGGGGCAAAATGGGTGTATTTCTCTACCTGAAAAGACTCCGGTGAGATGAGATGGCCAGGACTGGCAGAAATGCTTTTACTTGTTCAGCCTGGAGAAGGCTGAGAGAGGAATCTGATCAGCATATATAAATACCTTAAGGTAGGGAGTGAGGAGGATGGGTCCAGCCTCTTTTCTGTGGTGTCCAGTGATTCTGTGACTCTGCTCCCTCCTTCTTATGTTTAGCACTGCCCTTGCATTGGAGACACATGTGTCTCTGTTCAACGTACTCTTGCCACTGTTCTGCCTCCACCTCTCCTTCATACCCATCTCCTCAGCTGCTCTTGCAAATCCTCCCTGAGCGGAAGCAGACCCCGATTAATGGACAGTTGCAGCTCCGCAGACAGGGAGGCAATCCTGAATACACCGTAGGCACTTCTCATCACTGTCGCAGCTCCAAGATGTTCTTAGGGCTTCAGCATCTCCACATGCTCCAAGGGCATGTTTAGCAAGACAACCACTAAGAAAGCAAGGGAGATCTTTTTCTCCTTGCTAGTGCTGGGTTACTGGGCATGGGCTTTATTGTTTTTATTGATAATTCTCCTTATCTCTGTTCTACCACTAGCATCCTCTTCAATTATTTGTTATGTCTTTCCTGTAAGCCCTGCAGGGCTTGCAATGTGTTTCCTGTGTGGTTGAACGGCACATTTAGATATCAAAGCATCAGTCCTGATCAAGGCCTCAGGATACTTCTCTAATGCAAAGAACAGACTTGAGTGTGGTTTCCTGGGCTAAGCTGTTTTAGCTCTGAGTTGCACCGATTCTGTCCTTTCATCTCAAGGCTGCCTGATTTAAAGGACATTTTAAAGTAGGAGTGGGATTGTTGTTTGATACAGTTCTGAAGGCACTCAGATCTCTCACTTCCACCCAACCACGCTGTAGCACCAGATGTTATGAATCCTTCTAACATCTGCAAGTCATTAGAGAATGGTAGAGAAACATTAATTTGCCAGGGAGGTGCCCTATTAGCCTATAATGGGTTCAGCTGGGATGAGCCAGAGGCAGTAAGTTGAAACCGATTTCTCCTGACTCGATTCAGAACTTGGAGAATGGGACAAGACCCTGGCCTCTAGATTTTTCTTGGGAATAACTGTTTATATTAGCTGAGACTGCTTTGCTGAGACTGATATCTATCTCTCCTTCAAAACAGAAACTGAGCTACAAGGAATTCAAGATGTTTACAATATTCTGCATTGACAAGGAGCAAAAAAGGGAAAAGGAGCGAATGAGGATGGGGGTGACCAAAGGGCGTACGGACATCACCCTCCCACCAGAATCAACCAGCCCTCAAAGGACTAAGCACCACCACACCTACTTCCAGCCAGGAACATCCCAACCTCACTTCTCCATCCCCACAGGCTCAGCTTAAATCCAACAAACACATCAAACTTGGAGAAAACGAATAAATCAAAGTGAAGTATTCAAGCAATTGCTTGTTCGGCTCAGCTTAAATCCAACAAAATAAACACATCAAACTTGGAGAAAATGAATAAATCAAGTGAAGTATTCAAGCAATTGCTTGTTCTGTTATCTCCATTTCTAACTGCTACTGCTCTCAAAAGAGGAATGCCAGGGCCTGATCTCTTCTGAAGAGGAGAGGCTAATGCAACTTGTATTTTAGCCTCACACTTTGCAGTTGTCCCCAGGATCAGCATTGTTATCGGGTCATTCCTCCCATGTACTGTAACTGTGGATCTTTGGGGGATTTGGGGACACCTCCCTGTCCCCCAGCTATGTTACTACATCTTGCTTTAGAGAAACACGCCCTCCCACTGCTCCTTCACTGCACACACTTTAGGGCCAGGCATTTTCCTTGCATCCTCCTCACTGCTGCTGTGAGGAACGGCCCAACTGAAGGAAGCACAGCTTTCTGTGCTAACAAAACCACCTAATTAAATCCATGTTTGGAGCAGGCAAGGGAAGCAGGCAGTTTCTGTGCTCAGACTTGCCTGTTTAGTCTTTGGATGAAGCATTCGGCCTCCATGCTTGCCGCAATTAGAGCCCTTTCCTAACGAAATGCCAAAGCTACGGCATAAGGGACTAATTACTACAGAAAATCCCTGTCTCTTAAGCTCAGCAGCTGACATCATGTGAAACAGCAGCTGAGCATGGCCCCTCAACGGCCTTTGTAGCTCTTCTGGCTCCAGAGCAAATAAACAAAACATCTGAGATTCCAACTTTTGGGGATTGTTCAGAGAGAGGGAAAGCAAGGCCATAGCAAACCCAAATCACAAAGAGCTCCTCTCCTTCTCTGTACACTACGCTTATGCCTTATGTTTTCAGGCAAGGTTGGGAAGAACCGGGTTTTTGGTTGCATTAAGTCACTTGGGATTCCCTGGGCCCCCAGGCGTTACAGCCACCTTGGTGGCTGAGAGACAGAGACGAAGAGACAAACATCCCTCTCATTACTACTGCTCTGTGACTGCAAACTTTAACTCAAACAGGAAACGGACAAAGATAATTATTTTAAAATGCTGCTGCTTGGAGGACAACAGCCCTGAGAAAACGCCCCTGCCAGGATAGGGAGACATATATGTGTATTTTTCATACACACACATATAAAATATACAACATATATATTATATATATAATTATATAACATGTATATAATCCATGCATACATATGTATTTATATGCATACATATATTTGAGGAAAGTCATATGCACATTTGTTTTTGGTTCACATTATTAATTCTACACCAAAAGTATTCTGGATTTAAAAAAAAAAAAAAGAACATTTAGCTGTGATAACATTAGACCAAATTGACCTAAAAAACTATTCATACCCCTGATGCATTAGATAGTTAATCAAGACTATACAAAAAGTGACCTGAATTAAGACATGTCAGTTAATGTAATTATAGGCCAATGGCACAGATCCATTATTTTGCACTTTACCCATTCACAAGGGAACTGCTGCAGTAGTTAAGTGAGGCAGTTAGCACTGTCCTTTGGACGCCCAAGGATATCAACAGGTTGTGCCACCCCTTCCTTAGGGCCCTGGATGGATTCCCCTAGGCACTGCATATTGTATTGTAAGGACAGGCTGTTATACACATCAGAGCCATTACCAAAACGTGTCTCCAGGGTATCAGACGGATAATGAAAAAAAGTTAGGAGTTCCAGAGTATAAAGCTCAATTTGAAAAAATTATAAAGAAAAACCACACTGACTTTACGTCTTAAGGCATGGACTTTCCAGTATTTTATTTTTAAATGCATGGAAAAAAAGTGTTTTTTTTGTTGTTGTTCTTTTTTGTTTTGTCCTTCCCTAGGTTAGAAAAAAAAGAAAAAACCCCACATAATTTAACAGTCTAAATACAACTTACTTGTGCTTTGCAATTGATTAAAAATATGTGCACACACTACTGTGAAATGTCAACCAGGAAACAGAGGTACACCATAAAAATACATAACACATTTTAAAAGTTACCTGGATGTTCACAGCATCTTTATATAGGCCTAGAGTTCTCCATCTGTTGAACGAACCAGGAAGAGGACTGGGGGGAGCTAAAGAGCATGTTTTACACAACTGCTATATTCGTTTCTAAAAGATTTTATAAAAGTTACAGGCAAACAGGTCACATCACAGGCGTTTCCTCATCCTTGTCTCACCAGGTGTTGAAACTGTGTATTTTCTGTGTCAGTACCAAAGCTAGCACCGTATCCTACATAAGAAAGGTTTGTTACATGGCACACACAAACAAACTGCATACAAAAGGTTTTACCATAAAAATGAGGATATTTATTCAAGAAGTACAAATTTGATGGTACCAGCCATCTTTGAAAGCCATTACCATGAGGCAGAGAGGACACAAACCGAAGTCTCTTGCTCAGAGCATACGAAAGCAAGTGTCTTACAAATTTCAAACTAATGTAATAATTTCAATCATTGCTCAAACGCCATCTCCACTTTTTAAACATTCCCTGGACTTGAGAGAGGCACAAACAGGGTTTTTTTTTTAATACAAGACCAGTTAGTTATTTTTAATAAAGCCATAAGCTAAAATTTAACTTGTTTTAACATTTCTTAAATTACTTCCAGTCTTTGACCAGATTCCAATTTCCTAAAGAGAAAGGGAGCTTTAAAACTAGTAGATGCAGAATTTTTGGAGCTCAAGATGAACTTGAAGTTTTAAGGCAGGAGTCAGGATTTTAAGTTCTCTATTTGCCCCATGGTTCTGATCAAATGGTCTTCATCTTTAAGATATACAAATACAGAGTTCAATTGGATAAATACCCAATGAGCGGCCCTGTTCGAAAGACAGGAACAAAATTCTTCATGGAGAGCCCAGCAGACACATATATTAAAAGTCTCAAAGTCCATAACATGAAGCCCACTGGCTGAAACATCTCGTCTCCCAACTATTTGACTTTTGGAGGCTCAATGGCATTTATGTATCGCTTGGAAGCAGAGCTCCATCTCCATCTCCAATGAACCAGAGCAACACACACACAGCTATGGAGCATCTAAACTGCCGAAAGACGAGAGCCATTTGCAGAACAGAGCAATTAAAACCACTTTATGGAAATGAAAGTCTTAAAGCAGGCAGACTTGTATATACAGTCATTAACTAACAGAGGTGTTGGTAGCTGCAAATACAATAGCCAGCTGTTCATCTTCCTTCGGAGAAAACAGAAACGCAGTCGCTGAAAGTTTAACTCGGTCACTTCCTGCAGTGGTTAATTCGCAAGGGATATCACCAACATCTAGTGGCTTTGAAGTGTATATATATATATCTTTTTCTTTTTCCAAAGAAGTTGGCAGAGCGCACGAAGCTCATCCCCTTGCCCAACGCAAGTTCTCACAACCTCCCGTCCTGCATCACCCACATCCAGGCCCAAGGGCTGCAAACTGGCCGAGAGCTGCCTGCGCCGGCCAGGAGGGAGGTGAGAGCAGAGGGAAGCGATGAAGGGCAAAGAAAAAAAGAAAGAAAGAAAGAAAGAGAGACAACCCTTTTTATAACAGAGACTACTTGCATTTCAACGTAACAGAATCTGAGTAGCACAGCAAGAAAAACCAACACAAATCTTTAACTTTTTCTTTTTTAAAAATGTAAACAATCTCTGCATAAGGTGCAGGGTCTTGAATGTATTTACAGTGATACAGAAAAGAGTTCGTACAGACTAAGTCAAACATGTAGCTACCACTTGTGTTTCCAAAGAGGATAGGAAAGGACAAACATTGCATTCAATCTGCTGACGCTTACACAGCTAAAATGCTGTGCAAATTCTGTGGCTAAGAGCATCCTGCCATTGCATCAAACTAAGACTTTTTTTTAATAGTTTTTTTTTTTAGTTCCATATTACTTACTAACAATGGATATATACGCAGAAGCATGTCATGCTACAGCAATATTTTACCAATCAGCCATCTGCTCTACCAAAGGTGACGGAAACTGGATGTGTTGCTTTGCTGGATCTGCAAGTCTCGCTCTCCCCTCCTCCCCGAGTGAGCTTACAGCTTCCAGCAAAAGGCAAAGAGGAGCTGGGATTTTGTTTGCTTGTTACTGGAGTTTTTATTTGTTTGTTTTGCTGTTACTACTGCTTTTAGCATCTGTGCGTTATTAAAAACAAAATAAATGACACTGCTGACTCTCCTCATTTAGTTTTCCAAATACTTCCCAGCTCCAGAGACATATATGTTGCTGGCTTTAAGAAAAACAAAAACAAGAAAATATTTTCCTAGTTCAACTATTCTCTTACCTCCCACCCGCTCCTCTGCAGAGGGCACTGCAGGGCTCAAAGCAGCGATGCCACAAGCCAGACCTTCCGAGCTGGACGCTGCGTGGTCACGCGTCCTGCAGCGCAAGGCTGCACCTTGGTGTGCACCCTGGAGACATCCCCGGTGCTGGCATTGCCACCTGGGCTACAACCCAGAAAGGGACACGGATTTTAAAGCAACAAGATATGACTGCTCACTCAGTCTGTGTTGCAAACCCTTATACAGGGGAGCTACGATGATCAGCTTGCTGCACGTGTGTGCACACTCTCAATACTATTTTTCTTTTCTGAGAGATCTATAGGTATGTGTGGATATTTTTTGAAATCTGGACTTTCTTTTTCTAATTCAAATTTTATACCTTTCCCTTGTTTCCAAATAGGTACATGCTTAGAGCATCTGTCATTTCATCAAGAAGAAGGGGTCAAAAAGAGCCTGCAATTTCACCCCTCGAGTATTCTGCCACTGAATTTGTTTCATTTTCATACATATGCTTAAAGGACAGGAGACGGCGAGGGAAGAGTTGAGGAAAGGGTATTTTCACAAAGTCATTCCAGGTTCGCCTCTAAGCCTGCTCATGGCACAGCTTCAGATCATCACCTTGCCCTGGTCAATACCCAATACAGTTATTTATTACAACATAGCATCAGAAACCTCTCAAATTCAGGGGAGGCAGAAGGAGAGTTAATCCTCCCTGCCCCTTGCTTAGCTTACTACACACTGCAATACCATGAACAGTACAAGGTGATGCCTGTACTCCAAAATCATACAAATCTCCAAAATCATACAAAAATGTAGTGTTGTAGTATTCACAGCTTTACAGTATTTTTATCCTCGTTTTAGCTTAGCTCTGTAGACACCATCACAATTCCACCCTGCTTCCAGAAGTGACTGGTGTGTAGAGAAGTCACATAGCAAAGGCAGTTTATACAAAGATGTAAATTATGCCTTACAAGATGAGTCGTGTCCTCCTGGTGTGAAGGGATTAATTCATAGAACAATCTAATTTTACCCACCTTTGTTTGACCAGGTGAAAAATCCAAGAGTTTGAGTTGCTTGTATATCAAACAAATACTGTTTTTCCCCTTGGAATGCAAAAGATCTGGCTGCAAAAACCCAGTATGCTTAACTGTATGTCTTTAAAAAAATCCACAGTAGAAATCATTTGTTATAGACTCGTAGTGATCAGTTTTGATTTAATCTTTAAAAAGAAAAGCAAGTCACTTTGGTGTTTACAAGAAAAGGGAACTGATTTTCCTCATGCAGCCCTGTCATGCTCTTCAGTCATCCTGTAACCAGCTGGGCTTAGGGAACTGTCAGAAAACCGTAGCTTTAATACAACACTGAGTCCAAGATAAAACCAATGCTCATTTTCAGGGTGGTAGCAGGGAACGAAATACAAAATATGAATGCTTTTTTCAGCTGGTTTCAGATTTGGAAAGTTGATTGCATCACCTAACCAAGGTAAATGTTGCATTTATTCCCATCTGCCGGGGAAGTTGTATAAATTTGTACAGGTAGACTCTGCTAGTTCCAGGTTTACTCATGGAGCAAGGAACTCTCTTGGAAGTCTGAAAAGTTGAGTTGTACGGAATTAACAGAGTAGTAAAAGCAGTAAGTTTAAAAATGTCAATTCTAGCCAGTCAGTTTACCTGGCAGATGAATAAGAGCTGGGCCAGCTGTAGGTCTGGACCACAGATTCAGACAGGGAAGACAGAAGAAAAACTGATTAGATGGATCATACCTGAATAGTACATTGAGATTTGGAAGAACTCAAGTGATTTTAGTGATAGCTGAACAAAACAATCAAGTTAATAATCACATTTAATAAGAATAGAGGATCTCACCTCAGCCAAAAGAAACACCAGACAAGGGTGAAGAGCAGCCAAAGGAGCAGAGCATATCTCTAACCAGGGTATCAATCAATTATAATTCTTTTTTTGTAATACATTCAACTGATCAGATTTGAGACTACATTGAAAACGGATTTGTCTTTTGCCTACCAAAATCCTGTTTCAGAAGGGCAAAGCACTTCATTCTGAACAGAAAAGCACTGGTTATTAAACATAAGGACTATGTTCTAGGCTGCTGATGCATTTTAGTGGGAATATTTCTAATTACCTTGGGTAGAGGGTCACAGGGTCTAGCTCAGATCTAGAAGAACAGCCACTGCTTCAAATGGCAGCTGCAGAAAGATGAGATTAGCTTGCTGTTATGCCTTCTCACCTTAATCCAAGCTTTGTACCCTCTAGGAACTGAGTAGGGCAAGCTGCAATCCATTACATTTGGGCGTAACTGCAGTTTAATCTGGAACTATTACAGCTGGCATAGCAGGGTCATTTGCCAAAGGTCACATGTCTAATTCTGCCTTGCAGACCAAGGCATCACTTTCCTTAGCCAGTGTGTTAAAAGTTCCTTCTGAAGATCCCAGAGAGATGCAATACTTCAGACGGCACTGATTCAGGTGCCAGCCAGCCAGGAAGCTTCAGGCTAAGACAGTTTGACAGCAAGTAAGCTTGCAGTACAGTACAAGAGAGTAAGCATTTGCTGAATTATTGCCTAGTGCTTCCGAAGGCCGATTGTGGAGGCGGCGGCCGAGGCCACGCTGGAATGTACGGTTTTGCTTGGTCGGGAGCCCTCCGCTGGCTTCCCTGGGCCTCCCGACCAAGAAGCTGGAGAAGCTCCCAACTCGAGTCAAACCCTAACCCATCACTGCAAGCACCCGATGCACAGGACCTACCCGAGCAGCGGCCATCCCTGCGTGAACTGTGTGTGGTGCTCATAAGACATAAACGCTTCTTTTTTAAGGAAAAGTGCTCTCCGTTGCTCTCTCTCTCTCTCCATGAATCAGGGCACCACTAACAGTTATAATAATCGTTATATGTTTGTCCCATTTAAATGACGGACAACTCTTCCCCTGTCCCTGCACCGCCTCCCCGCTCCCTTCCCCTTTGCCCTTGCCCCGTGTTGCTGTCGTGTTAAACACGGTATCAGGCAAACCCCAAAGGACAGTTTACATTTTTTATGTTTTGTTTTTGCAGATCTCCATCACAGATGGAATTTTTGCTGGTCATTTCTTGGAACCAATCCATTAGCAGAACACCCTCAGTCCCCCCACCCCATCCCAACAGAAAAAAAAAGAAAAGAAAAAAACAGGGGGCAGCAAAAATAAATCCCACAATAAGAGACGGAGGGAAGAAGAATCAATAAACAAGGAGGAATCAGTTTTCCACTGGGGTTGGATTTGCTAAGGGTTGGCTCACGATGACTTGCACCACGTAGTCCTTTGGGATTTTCAGCTCCTCTAGTTTCATTTTGTCTGCGAGCGGCCTGCCCGAGAAGAACCAGCGCTGGCTGCCCGGGTCCACTCCCTCCACCGCGTGCAGCCGCCTCTTCATGTGATACACCGTGTCCATGCTGCGGACCATGAGTTTGAGGTCTTTGCCTGTGGACAGGCGCAAACGGAGCTGGCATTCGTGCCCCGAATTGGGCGGCGGGTCGGGGATATCGAGAGTCTCCAGGTCGCCCTTCTCCTCTATCATGTTGATAGGTGGGGCAAGGCAGTAGACCGGGAGCTGGTACCTGTTGCCCAGTTCATCGTAACACTCTGTAAGAGCACCTTGAGGAGATAAGGAGAAAATATATATATATATATAAATGCACGTCATTTAAAACTGAAATCAAGCACGTATTCCAGCGTTAAAGCACCAGAATGACAGGAGCTGATTTTAGGGATACAAAAAATCTCAAGTTCTTGTTAAAAGCTTATTTTTACCCTTGTGCTCATGTTGGGGTTGAGTTAGAAGCACTCCCCCAAAAGTCAATACCACCTACATAGATGGGGTGAATTTCAAAAGTAGGAAGGAAGGAAGGAATGAGGGAAGAACCTCATCATCACACAGATGAAAAGGTGAAAAGGGCTGAAAGGCTGAAGGTAGAAGACTGCTGTGAAAGGACCATTTTATAACTTGTAACCAAACATTCAAAAATCACTAAGGCTGTTTCATATAGGCCTAATGTTTTTGTGGTTGCTGCCAGGAAAAGCAAACACGACCACCCATCCAGACAGCCCTGCTGCTGCACAAGGAGCACGGTGTCATCCCCAGCGTGGGGGCACGCAGCACGGGCTTGGAAGCGATCCTCATAGTCCAAACCCTGCAATTTCAGGAGTGCTTTTTATTGCCTGGACTCCCAAGAGGTTCCTCAAAATGATCTGAGGGTCCAGCAGACAGTGAGCAGCTTGTTTGCATGGACCTGCCTTTCTCCACTTACTGAAATTGTGACACACATTAATTGTAAGTGCTTGCAGGACTAACTAATACATTGCCCCCCTAACATGAAATGCTCTTTATTGAGATGTTTCAAGGAGGCTCCTGGAAAAATGGCAGCACATTATTCATATATTTTTTTAAGAGTCAAAATAATAGAAGTCTTAAAATTAGAGCCCAGCTACCTACGTTGTGTCTCACAGCGAGCAGGACACGCACGACGCAGAGGCAGTGAGTTTTCCATCTCCGAAAGCACAGCGGAAACGCCTTCCCAGAGGAGTTAAACCCAGACATTCGTGCTGCATGAAAACACTGCTACTACATCTTGGATTTACCTGCAACGACGAATTTTCACATTTTGCCCCTAGAGGGGGCACATTCACTTGCAAGATCATCCCTCCTTTTGTAGCTGGAAACGTTTGAAGAGGAGCCAAGTCCTCGAGCTACAAATATTTTAAAAACTCTTTGTCTCGGCAGTTCTGCCTCAAAACACCGCCTGCTCCTTGTTAGGAACCTGAGGCTTTTCCATACTGACAGCGAATTGTCTTGCAAAATGACCGCAATATGAAATGATGACCTGTGGATGGATCACAACACTTGGCTCATTCAGACAGCAGCATCTTGGGCTGAAAGTCTACGTTCTTTTAAGAAGAATATTTTAATCTATGTTGGTGAAAACACACAGACGCACTCTGTGGCTCTACAATATCAATCTTCTAGGAGCAGCCACTTTCCCCCCCCTTCTGTTTGTACATGTAGCACTGAGATTGTTATCCCACAAGTTTTACTACAAAAATGCAGAAAAAAAGTTTATAGTTATACTACTCAGTCCAGTTTGGGCTCATTAACAAGTCCCAGAGCAAACCACCTTTATCAGAATCGGACCAAGTCTGTAACTTCCAAGACAGTGTGGGGCGTGATTGGCAAACTAAGGCCCAAAGTTCTTGCAATTCAGCTTTACAACACTCATTTTACTAAAAATTGATACTAACTGTACTAAATTTTATTTGTTCCTACTAATAGTGATCCAGAAGTATTTGTTGCACAAAAAGAAAAAAAAATCCCAAAGGTCTTAAAATTTAGCTAGACCAGAAAAACCTATCTGCCTTCACCTAAAAGCCACATACATTAAAAAGATGCTACTGTTTTAGAAAGGAACATCAAAGAGTTAATCTTAAATGCAGCCAGGCAAACCTGCTAAGGAATTTCTTCAGCATTTATATCCTTGCCCAGTTGAACTAAGATCAAGGTCAATGTGTATGCTATAAACACTAGATTGCTTAATCATAATCAGATAAGCTGTATTAAAGAAAACCCTCTGAAACAGCAGCTAACTTGGAGGTCTCTTTTTTAAACAAAAGTATATAAAGACACTGGGTGGAGGTAATCTGACTTGTTCTCTTGCCAACAAAAGCTACCCAGTTCAATCAAGGGCTGAGAAAGGATTTTACGACACACCGTTATTGTAAATACCGTTTTCATAAGCGCAACCAATAAAACCCTTTTTTTGATTCTCACTGGCAAAATTATTCCAAAGACCTGCATCATATTAAATACCACTTAATGATTCTCAAGACAAGATATATTGATTAAAGCACAAAACAAGAGACTTGAAAGCAAAAGTGATAAGGCCTCACAGTCCATGGCTGGTGGAAGAGCATTTAGACTCCACACTCCTACGTGGCTCTGAACACCAGGCAAGCGCTCAGGATGCCTCAGGAGGTGCCAGTCCTCACCTCAGGAATATGTCCAACCATGCACAAAAACCACGGCGCAGCGGGACATCCCGGAGCAGGGAGCTTGTGCAGGGCTGTGCTGCCCACCAGCCCTGCTCCCACAGCGCATCTCACCAAGCAGAGCTTCCCCCGCCACGCACGGAACTAAATCAGCAGGGAATTAAACATCTGTACCATAGAGCCCTCTCTAATTTTGCTTTTGTAATTGAAAACTGTGCATCTGATCCCTACGGCGAGATGTGTACTCTCAGGCCACAGAAGTTAAGTGGCACAAAGGGGCGCTGGCAGCACGGTTCAGCAAGAAAGCATAGAGAC